GGTACATCTGCATAGACTTTATGAAGAAATGGCTCAGCTAATGAAACTGTAGCACAGCACCACATGGGGGGGGGGTGGTCAGTGTGTACCTCCCCAGCAGCCCTGCGTGTTCCTGACAGACAGACAGTTATGTAAGAGGACAGAGCTAAAGGTTGCCTTGTCTCCTGAACCACCAGAAATCCACACAGACGCACCGAACGGCAGTGAGGATATGTGGCCCTCTCGCCTGCTGATTATTAAGGCTGTGTCATGCAATATTAAAAATGGTCCTCTACTCCGCTTCAGGTAGCACAGAGATATATATATTGCATTACCTTAAGTAATATTTGGACAAGAAACTCACAGCCAACACTCGACCACCTTAAATCCGCATCAGCGCTATAGGAACCACTGTTAAAAATAAACAACCCTAACCCAAAACAGTTATTAATAAATGGGCAAAGTTCAGTACTTGATGTATGAATAATTATTATGGTCTTCGGAGAGCTGTCCATGTAAAATTAGATTACTGATTGCCAATCTAAATAATTAACAGCTGTATGATTATAGGAAGCATAGTTCACTGTGTGTTCTCCACTCTGCAGCCTTTACAGCTGTCACATGATGGATTAGAAATAATGAGCATTAAGTATGGGAACACTGTGTGGGACGACGTAGCATGTTGCTACCTGCCCCGATGCTAGCGAGAGTGTTAACGGCCCGCTGTCCAGGACACTCATCACCGTGACAACCCATAAAGCTGTCACCGGATAGACAAAATGTCTGTTCCCTGAGCTATGTGACCAAGACGTGTCTGTAAGTAAATGAGTTCACATGTCTGGATAACTGTGCCTGGAGGTGGACAGACAGCCTTGAACTCAGGTGAGCACTAATGAGAACGCTGTCTCCCCTGAGGCCTGCTGCCACTCAGACCTGCAGGAAAAATAACCAAAATATACAATAACACTAAAGAATGTAATCATCACTCCTGAGGGAACACTGTGTGGGCTGACACCCTCAAAGTCACTTAAGTACGCACCGCATTTTCATATTATTAATATTTTACTTTTTCAATATCGACACTGTAAGAACAAACAAAAACAATGCATTCTCAAATAACTTTCTAACACTTCTCTACGACAAAGCAAACAGTCATTGTTCTAAAAGCCATATGTTCTTTTAGAGTTTCCCCATTCAAACTAAATACATACATAAAGTGCATTTAAGTCACATAATTTTGAATTTAGCAGACCATACCAAACTAATCCACGTAATTTACATTTACTTGAAAATGTAATGTGCTTAATTTTACGTCCTGCAAGACTTTGAGTGTTTGAAAATAAATAGTCTGTACCAATACAATTTTAAAAAAGCACTTTTTTAACATTAAAACATGTAAAAATGTCACAGTAGAGGCCCAAAACACAAATATAAACCTGCAAATGTGCATAATATGTCCTCCTTGAAACAGTTGAGTTATGTGTGTGTGTCTTTATATGTTTGGGTATTGTTTGGACTAACAATAGGATACTGTTAAATTCATTATTGTAATTCCTCTATGTACATTTGATACACTAACCACTACATAACTCTGTCTCACTTGACAGTTATTTTGTTGTGTTGGAGGTCCATGAAGCATACACTCTGTAACATGCAGACTCTTCCAAATGCAGAGGTTTGCACACCGCACTCTGGTGCACCCCTACCTTGAGTCCGAACAGAGTGACCATCGTAAGGTCAAAGCGAGTCATTATACAGTAGAGCTGCTGAATGCGGAGCAGAGCGAGGTGCAACACCTGACTGCCAAACAGTCACCTTAGACCAAAGACCGGCTCGATATTAAGATGTGGCTCGACCTGGATCATCATCACCATTCTCTCTCACTTTCTCTCCTGTTGAGGTTATAGTCTTTCCTTACTCTCTCCCCACCTGGTATTCAGTGGGTTCCCAGACATTCTTGACATTTTGGAAAGGTTGAAAGACAAAGAACCTTTGTCTCCTAATAAGGCCGTGCTCCACACCCCACCTGAATGAGAATACTGGGAGAGAGAGGGCGACGGGGGCCTGCATGTGGGGTGGGGTGTTTGTACGTGATGCTGGAGGTGGAGGGGTGTACACAGGGATGCAGACGGGAGTGTAAACATGCAAATGAAGATGGAGAACAGGTGGGAAAATTAAAGCTTCAGGTTGGAAGACACATGAAGGGTTGTGTGTGTGTGTTTGTATGTGTGCAGGTAAGAGGTGTGGGAGGAGGAGGTTTGGGACTGAGCGGAAAGAAAATGAACACTGTTATGATCAATTCCCTATCTGGGGGTTGAGAGTGATAACAGTTAGGTTTTAGAGGCTAATGTAAGCTACTGCTTTGAGAAACACGGCAGCGCACCCTGGCGCTTTGCCCGCAGTCACACACACACGGATGCTGTACAAGAGAGCGATATCCTCCATCACTGCAGGAGCTTGAAGCAGAACTCAGAACAACCAAGGTCCTTCTGGTCTCTTCTCATCTCGCTCTCTCTCATCCATCACACCCCTCAGGTCTACCTCTCACCTCCCTCACCCCCCTCAATCCCTCTTGCACCGTATTCCTCTGCAGTTCTCTCTGAAAAACGTTCTCCAAAACAGCAGAAACTAGGAACGTTTGTTATTCTTTTATAAATGTAAGCAAGGACAGGGCTGTTGAAATGGACAGGTTTAAATAGTTAGAGCTCTCCATCTGGTCAAGCACCTTTCAACCTTTAATTCAGTCTCTTCTTGTTTCCCAATCTGCCAGTGTCACTTTGAGTTATCTCTACCTTAGACTTCCCACTTACCATACAGCTGTGGCCCTGTGTTATGCAATGTCCCCGCATTGTCTCATCTGTAGTTTTCAAGGCACTGCAATTTCCGAAGGCGCGGAGTTAAATGCGAGAACACAAAAGTATTTTTCTCTGTGGTTTGTCTTAACATTATATAAGCAAAAAAGGTAAAAATATCTGGACCTGTCTTCAAAAGCAGATGGTGCGGTTATGACATCAGGCTCGTTAAAGGCAGCTATAACTAGGAAGAGCCAAAGGTTGTTGTGAAGTGCACTGCCTTAAATCTAGCTGCCCCTACTAACGAGGAGAAACAAATGTGTGTGTCAGAGATGAGCTATTAAACGGAACAAAAGTCCTGCAAAAATCTTTAAATTCTCCTCTCATAGTCTCTTGTCTTTCTCTATATTAATCTCTATCTCCCTCACCCTGTCTTTCTCCTTTTATCTCGTTCTGTGTTGGTATTCTGTCACTCACTGGGATGTGGGCAGATATGGGATCACATTCAGCCTTCCAGATTCATTCTGCTCGCGACTCAGGAGCCAATATTAGCCACGCGGCCGTTGTTTTACCCATGAGCCCGTTGCCTTGGAAACGTTGCATAAGAGGGAGTGGGAAAGCGGGATGCCCCTTGCTGATTGGGAGACAAGGTGGCAGATATTTTTTCCTCTCCCCTCGTCTTCCCTGTATTTTCCTCTTGGATCTTGTTCTTTTCCCTCCGCTCAACGCTTGTTCTATCCGTACGTGTCAAAACCCCGGAGCTCCAGCTGAACCCTCATGACACGTGTTGAATAAACTCACCACCTTAAAAAAAAAGCTCCACAGTCAAAAACCGCATACTCAACTTAGTGATTTATGGTCCAATTAGACATGTTTGTGTACACACAGCACAGACACACACACTTGAACACTCCGCTCAATGCGCTGTGTTGTGTGTCATACTTCGCTGTGGGAGGCCTTGGCTGGAATCAGGGAGGAGAGTGCTTCATTGAATTCACAGTGACGACGTGTTCAAGACTGCATGACCTGGCCTTCCATATATTCAATACAAGCAAGGCAGTGCTGTGTCTACATACCAGGAGGGTGAGAGAGACAGAGGAATGGAGGGGGAGGACGCAGAGTGAAGAAATGATGGCCTTGGCGCCAGAGACAGGACAGTTTATCTTCTGTATCTTCACTGCCTCCAACTCTTTGTCTGCTTTGAAGAGAAACAAAAAATACAAAGGATGGACTTAGAACTTGAAGTCATTTTAGAGTCAGGAGTTCACTTTTTCCCAAAAATGTCCAAACAACATAACAACACACTGTCTCACATACCTGTGTAGGCATGAACAGAGACGTAATTAGTGATCTGAACATATCAGGGCTGCTGAAGGTTGCATATTTTCCAATGGAATAGCCTAAAATGTAGTTTCTTGTGTAATTTGCATTTTTCCCAGCATGTAGCAAGCCAAGAAAAGAGCAGGGTGGGCAGCCCCTGCGTGAGGGAGCTGTCTCAATGCGTGTGTTTAGCAAGCACCATCTGCTGCTTTTATTCAGATGGGAGTAGAAATATTTGGTTGATTAACAGAGGATCCGTGTAGGATAGTTTCACTGTTACCACCGGTTACGAGAGACACACATGCTCGATTTTTCTCAACTGGTGTCTATCTGGAAGACACATCAACATGCAACTGCTCGAATAAGTACACATGTGCATATGGATGTCAATGTGTAACACACAGCCCGCTAAACACACGACAAAAGTGTTGAAGACACCCTAACACTGTAGTGAGAAGCAGACGGGTGGAGACACAAGCTGACAGCAGCCACACAAACAAGGCATTTATCTTTGGAAAATTAAAAACAACGCAATATAATACACAACAATATGACCTATGTTTTGTAAATGTCAGTCTATTTATGAGTTGTTTATTTAAAAAAAAAGTTTATGGACAATGTGCCACCATTGCTCCAATTGTATGACTTAGCCTGAGCCTTATTATTGTAAAATAGCATACACTTTTTATAAATGCTACACGTATTAGCTAGCTACCACAGGTATGTACTGTATATCTAAAAATGGGCATTATGAATATTCAAGTGTGTTTTAAAATGCTGTCATTATTAAGTGGGTGCAGTCGTTACTTTTCTTTTTTATTGAGATTTTTACACCAATGTTTAATCAATCCTGCATGCGTAGGTACCAATCTTTAATAACTTAAATAACTTTTTTTGTTCCCTCTTCAGGTGCTGATCTTGGTGGTTTGATGGACCTGGAGTCTCTGTACCGCGGCGTGGAGCAGAGCATCAACCACACGCGAGCGGGGCGAATGCGCCGGCAGAGCCTGGACCGGGCCTACAACATCGAGGTGCTGCTGGGCGTCGACGACTCCGTGGTGCAGTTTCACGGGAAGGAGCATGTCCAAAAGTACCTGCTCACACTCATGAACATCGTAAGTGTCACAATAACACCAACAAACACAGAGAAAGAGAAGTCGATGAATGTAGGCCAATTCAAAATAATGTATTGTCTAATCAGGCACCTTTTATTTAAATTGCTGAAAATGTATCTTAGAGCCTTAGATCGGAATGGAACTTTACTTAAAATGTGAGGCACTTGGAATTTACTTGAGTATTTCTTTGTTATGCTACTTTGTACTTCTACTCCACTACTATCAAAGAGGAAACTATTGTATTTTTTACTCTACTACAATTTCCTGAGAAATTTCCTGCCTTTTTCCAATTAAAATTGAAATTGGAAATTGAAAAAAGTTGACAATTTTGGACGCTACAAACATTAAGATTTTATAGACAACCTTACATCTATAGCAGTGAAATACGAGATATCCATTAATGCAGCTGTAATTCTAACCGAAAACATCATATCAATTTAATAACACTAACAGGGACATTTTTGAGTATTTTGACAATATGGTGTCAGTAATTTTATTTTACATAATGCCTCTGAATACCTCTTTCATCACTGTACACATCACACACACATGCAGCCTGCTTTCAAGTATCACAAATAAATGAATCTGCATCTACACCCATAATCCTAAATGCCAAAAAGTGACATTTGTTGTTCTGCTTTAAGAAATCCAATGGAAAAACTGAGTTTTTAGTCAAATCGGAAGTAAGTCACAGAGAGGTCAAAGAAAGAGGGTTACACACAGACAGACAGACAGACAGCCTCACACACACACACACACACACACACACACACACACACACACACACACACACACACACACACACACACACACACCGACTGAAAGAGGATTCAATTCCCTTCCTACATGTTCTCATCCAGCAATCAGCCGCGGGTAATATTTTCTTCTCTATCTGAATATGATGAGATTTCATTTGTTTAAGTGTGTGTGTGTGTGTGTGTGTGTGTGTGTGTGTGTGTGTGTGTGTGTGTGTGTGTGTGTGTGTGTGTGTGTGTGTGTGTGTGTGTGTGTGTGTGTGTGCGCGAGTCTTAGGTGAGCCCTGTGCTCTGAGGGGGCTCCTACATATCATTTCATCAGGCTCTGTGGCATGTCATATTTCATCGAGAGTGTGTTTGTGTGTGTGAGAGCTGCAGAAACAGCAGGCAGTATGCTCCAGGCCACGACAACACTTAGCTGAGCACCCTCCCAGGTGTGTGTGTGTGTATACCTACATGCACGTGTGTGTTGGTGTGACACTGAACACACGGCAGACTTTAATCTTTGCAAATTAAACCTGTGGTGAGAGTGCTGCTTGCACACGTGCGTACGCGCTCCTGTTTGCTTTCGCTTGTATTGCGACCCACTGCGCAAGGAACCAATCTCAGACTGTTAAGCAGGTGCAAGCATACAGCAACAAATCCTGCCACACCTCTTTGTCTCAGCTCAGCGCTTGAGAAAGAACCGCTGTGCTCTCTGCCTCCCCTTTTAGATATTTGTTAGACAATATAGAGAAGGGAATACGCAGCCCTGTCGCAGCCCCCCTCTAATCTGTGGGGAAGAGATGGTGAGACAGAGGGAGAAGGAGTATTTTAAACAGCGCTTTTGGAATATATTACCGACAGCCAGATAAACAGAAATAAATAAATAAAGGCTGCCTCCCACGCGTGGCATCTGGGCGGCTTTCTTCTTGAAAGTTTGCTTTGCTCACTTCAGGATGGGTGTGCTTTCTATCCCCTCTCTCTCCCTGTCTCTCGCTGAGTCTCTCAGCAGCACTGAGTTGCTCCTCACTGAGCTTTCTTCCCATTGTTACTCCTCCCTGACTTGTGTCGTTTATAGCAACAGATCCTCAACGATGTCTAAAACTTTCCAATAATGTGAGTGACAACACAGGTTTAAGGCGAGACATTCAAGGTTAATGTAGGATAAGGAGAGAGATTAAATATGTTTTCCCTCTAAAGGTTACTCATATGTAGGCAGTTTATTGTTCTGTTATTGTAATACTGCCTAAATACACAGAAAAAAGTATTAAATGTTTTCTCTGAAATAGGGAGAACTTTAGATTTACGGCAGGAAGTCTCCTTACCTCGCCTTCTCCACCAGTGTCCTCTTCCTATTCCTCTGGCTGATTCTCCTCTGTATTTCCAGGCTGAATTGAGAACATTTTCTCGGTGCGTGTTTTTGTTTACACGTTCAACACACCTAGAAACTGTGTGTAGCAATCCTCTGTCTTTTGTTGCAGCAGCTGTAACAGTGTTGTACAGCAACCTTCAAAGAATAAATAAAGCGCTTGCATTCTTGTACAAAAGGTTATTCTGAGAAACTAGAATTTATGAATTTTTTCTCTGTCTATTCACAGATATTCTATTGTGTCTTTATAATTCCTCCTCTACTTCTTTTTCTTTTTCTGACTTTATGGATCTCTGTCTGTCTGTCAGTCTGACTACCGAAGTGAGCTAGGGGTGAACTGTGTGTGTGTGTGTGTGTGTGTGTGTGTGTGTGTGTGTGTGTGTGTGTGTGTGTGTGTGTGTGTGTGTGTGTGTGTGTGTGTGTGTGTGTGTGTGTGTGTGCGTGCGTGCGTGCGTGCGTGCGTGCGTGCGTGCGTGCGTGCGTGCGTGCGTGCGTGTGTGTTATAGGGGGCGGTAGTGTTGTCTGCAGGACATCAAAGCACTCCCACAGAAAACCACTAATTCCTGTCTGTGAGGTTCAACTGGAGTGTCAAACTGTGTGATGTGTGTGTGTTAATGTGTAGGTTGAGTTAGATGTGTGTTTCATGATCTCTGCTTCCCACTCCTTTCCCATGTGTTTACCTCCCTTCCCCACATTGTATTTTGGTTCAATTTGCTTCAATAGATGAAAACAGGTCCAAGCACGTGGCTACATTTTTCACCAACCATTTCACTATCAATAAATTACAATATTTCTTTCCATTATCTTTATTCAAATGTTGCAGTCATATAAACCTGACTAACAGTTGGACGACCTGTTGCGTGACTCTTCATCTGATGCCATCATCGTTTGGAAAAAACTGGAATATTGGGCCTCTTTGCTTGAGGTGTGGCTCTCTGTTTAGTGTCTTTATAATTAAATGACAAGCGACGTGGTCATTGTGTGTTGCATGTATTTTGATTTGGACAGGAAGGTCTAAACAAACCAAAAAACTAACCAAAAATTCAAAATAATTGCCATTGTCACATTTAAAAAAAGAGAGAAAGAATTCAACACAAAATGGTAAATTAATAAATAAATAAAGTTAAACTAAATTGGGAAAAGTGAGAAATGAGTGAGCAGGCAACTTTGTGCTTTGTTTTGCTTGACCGCAGTTGACAAAGAGGAAACAAAGGTGTTGTAACGACAATGTTATGGTAAATCCTGTAAAATATGGTGTGTGCTAAATGTCAAGTGGAAGCCATTGTGCAGTAATCTTCCTTCGGTGAACTTCATGGAGATTTAGTGGTCAACAGTTATCTATCTGTCTTACCCATTAATGGAGACCTTTAGAGAGAGGCCGCTAAGTGTTAATCACACTCTCCATGGATATGAATAGTCACTGCTGGGGAAGGAAGGTATGTGTTTGTTTGTATGTGTGTGTGTGTGTGTGTGTGTGTGTGTGTGTGTGTGTGTGCGCGCGTTTAATTTCAATGATGCACACTTAGCTGAAACTTTTACCCATATGTGATACATATTTTTTTGGTTCAGTCTTGTCTTTACCAAATCTCCTGGAGGCAAAAAAAAGTTGTATTAATAAGTGTCAGAAAAGCCTTGGAAAGGAGAGGTAGCCCAGGTAATAATAGACACCTTGTTAGCTAGAAGTGTCACAGATATGTAAGGAGCGCTGTCAGAATGAGAGCTCCAAAATCCTGCGTCTCAGTATTGAAATATTCCCATTTGTGTTGATATAAATGTAGGAAAGCTGTCCAAAGTCTCATCTAATTTATGTAGCGCTAAAGTCAATTTTATTTGATGACTCAGTTCTGTCTCCTTGGCAGCTGAGTGTTTTTCAAATGTTTCCCAATGTTCATCGCATATTCAATGAAGCCCACTCTCCTCGATGAGTTCATTTGAACACATTAACTCTTTGTGTAGAAATGTTCGCAATGTTACAGTTATCTTGAAAACATTTGAGACCTTTGAATGCTTATCACTACTTTGTATCCCTTAGTCTTATAAAGGGGCAAGGAAATGAGTCCAGAAAGAAATAAACAAATTATCACTTTATATTTCATTCATACATATATAAAGAGGTTTTATTGTGATACTAATTGTAGGTTGGAATTCTGTGGTTGAGTTTGAGGTGCCAATACTTAAAGGCACACTGCCTGGTATCTCTTGTTCCTAGGTTGCAGTCTGAATAACTCTCCTTATTCTCTCGACATATAACACTACGCTTTGCTTTCATTGCTTTCACAGCAGTAAACATCTCTATCCCTCCTTCCCTGAGTGCTTTAGATTTTAATTGAATTTTGAACCCCACACAATGCTGAAGAAAGTAATTCATCAACAGATTGTAAATGTGCAGAGCAACAACCGCACAACTGAAGTCAATGTTTCTGACACCACTGAAAGCTTTAATTATATGAGTTTTGTTTGCAAACATGACAAATGTTTAGGCCTACATTTGCAATTATGATGCAGATAAATGAACAAAACGATTAAAATAGCATTAACTTAATTTGAACTCCAACTGGATTAAACCTATAGTGCTTAAACAACAGCTGTACAATCACGCCTTGCTCTTCCTTTACACATGTTCTCTTGAATTATTTGTCCTTTTTGTCGTGCCTTTTTTGCGGTGTTAAGTGAGAGGACGATTTTGTGCCTTGCAGACCTCTAGGCCTGCATTAGTTAGACTAGGCAGACACAGAACTGGACAAAACTTTGCTACCTCAAAAAGGAGTCTGGGCGGTAAGTAATGATACCTGCTATCGCCCTTCAGCAGCATCAATGAGAGACAAGCCTGTACAGTTGTTAGCAATTAACTGTGTGTGTGTGTGTGTGTGTGTGTGTGTGTGTGTGTCACTGTGTTTGTTTGTCTGAGATTACATACTACACTTCGGTGGGTCAGTTGACACTTG